CTAGAACTTAAAGTATAATAATAATAAAACAAATAAATCAATAAAATAAAATAAAAAGAACCCTGAAGGCACCGCTCCAGGCCACAGCTGTCTTGCCTTGTCGCTGTCTGCTCTGCTGGATGCTGCGAGGACTGCAGCATTAGAGTGGGAGTTTCTTTTTGGGAATTAATTTATCAGCAGCCGTCACATAAAACATGACAGTAAATGCTGAGTGACAACAAATGACTGAGTGTATTCCTGAACATGGCAAGTTGACAGACACACACGAGCTTATAAAGAAAGACAAAAAGCTGGACTCCCTGACTTCCTGACAACAGGCCCTAGGTCTCCATCTTAGAAGTAGGAGACAGATTTGGGGAGATACATAATTTCCCCAAAAGGAAGGTACTGATCGATTTTTTTTTTTTTTTTTTTTTTGGTTGAGACGGAGTCTCGCTCTGCCGCCCAGGCTGGAGTGCAGTGGCCGGATCTCAGCTCACTGCAAGCTCTGCCTCCCGGGTTTACGCCATTCTCCTGCCTCAGCCTCCCCAGTAGCTGGGACTACAGGAGCCCACCACCTCGCCCGGCTAGTTTTTTGTATTTTTTAGTAGAGACGGAGTTTTACCATGTTAGCCAGGATGGTCTCGATCTCCTGACCTCGTGATCCGCCCGTCTCAGCCTCCCAAAGTGCTGGGATTACAGGCTTGAGCCACCGTGCCCGGCGGTACTGATCAATTTTTAAACTTCAACACAGCACTCTGAATTTCTTAGGGAAATAGGGAGATGACCATAGATGGAAGAGAAGCTGAATGCACGTTTTCTGCTGGAAGAAAAAGCTTGGGTGAACTGGACAACTTGTTGTTTTCATACTTAGCAAACCAACTGGGTAGATCAAACCTTAGGCCTGAAAGAACTACTATTATAATTAATGTTCTCATATTCATCCCTACATTTTTTTGTCATCAGAGGACATCTGACATCCACGGAGGGTTTCAGGTTGGTGAAAGAGCATTCCCAAATCCAAGACACAGACTTTTAAGGTTGTCAATATATAAAACTCGGAAGTCATCTGTAGTATCTTTGTTCTCTAAAGGACTGTTCCCAATCGTTTTACTACTTCTCTTGACTATCAGCCATGTAACTTGTACTGTTTTTCCCAGATGAATTATATAATTTTTCCAAGCTGATTTTTGCTGGGAGACTTCCTGTCCATCTCCAGTCTCTCTTAAGACTCTTAATTTCTCATTCCTTCCTGATGGGATCTCTCAGTTTGTTCATCTGTGAATTTCATCAGTGTCCCCTCTACTCTCTCTTACAAATTATCAAGGCTGATGTTAAAAAAAACCAGATTTAATGTCAATCCCTTTCCATTAAACTAGCCAAGCAACTAAGAAGCCACATTTGATTACATATCCAGAGCTGCATTACTGCCTTTTGAATTCAGGAGAGGAGAAGAGAAGGGTAGAAAGCTTTTGATGTTTTTTGATTAAAATCCGTTTAACTCTTGAAATGCCCAAACAGCACAAAGATTTCTTGATTAGGTCTCTGGTGTAAGGAACTGGCTCTCTGCAAAGCTGCATTAAATATGATTCTTTCTAGGTGTTCATAGTGAGCTTTACCTATTACTCTTAAAAATTGCAAAGGGGTCAGGCGCGGTAGCTCACGCCTGTAATTCAGCACATTGGAAGACCGAGGCGGGCAGATCACATGAGGCCAGGAGTTTGAGACTAGTCTAGCCAACATGGCAAAACTCCATCTCTACTAAAAATACAAAAGATTTAGCCAGCCATGGTGGCACATGCCTGTAATTCCAGCTACCAGGGAGGCTGAGGCATGAGAATCGCTTGAAGCCAGGAAGCAGCACTGCAGTGAGCCAAGGCTACACCACTGCACTCCAGCCTGGGTATCGGAGTGAGACTCTGTCTCAAAACAACAAAAGAAAACCGAAAGAAACTAAAAAGGATTCAAGGTAATGGAACACAGTGAGGCAAGCGGTCATTTATGGCATGTCACAAGAGCCCCAGAATCAAGAAAAACCTCCCCACAGATCTATATAGTGCCCCCTCCCCTCACCTGTTCTCAACTGCTCATATCATACTCTCATATACATAATAGAGGCAACGTTTTCTCTCCAGAAGGAGAGATAAAAGGGGTCAAGGGTTGGCAATGTCTTGTTTCTTAAAAGCTCACTCTAAGAAATATGCTTAAGTTTACAACGGAGAAGGCAGAGAAAAAAGAACCTGGAGTGGCAGGGCACAGGGCAGGTAAGAGTCCATACAGAAAAGGCCCCACGCAAGACTTCTCCAGTTCTTAGTATCTGTGGAATAAAGAAGGTGAATTGCAGAGGCACCACCAGAGCTCAGAGGGCAGCTCCCCAGAAGTACACTGTGGGGCAGCAGCTCTTCATCTCCCGCAGCACTTTCGGCCTCGAAGGCTGCACCCAGACACCTAGACATCACCTGCAACTGCTGCTTCCACTGGCCTCTTCAACCGATTACTTGGTCTTTTCTTTTTTCTAATCTCTCAGACTCATCTCTTTCTAAATCCTAAATCTCTCAAAATTCTTCTTTCTCTCCCTACAACTATGCTAGTCTACTAGTTCTCATGTTTGTTTTGCTTTGTTTGACCGAATAGCCAAAAACCCTATGAGGCCCACTTGACAGCCCTCATATAACTTAACTGAAATCATGCTTCTGTTTATGTTTACACTATTTCAGCTGACATTCAGAAATGCAAGCTCATTCATAGTAACAATGTGGATATTCCAAAAGCATAAACTTACTACGATTTTCTACATTTTGAGAGTAAACCACGTATCATCTACCTTTCAGCGTTCACAGCTTTTTACAAATTTTGTCATTTGTAAGATCTTACAAGGAGATACCTGTTCTCAATTCCAAAGTGAAAAGACTTAAAATCTTTAAATTTAATAATCCAAGTTTTCCAGAGCTGAAGGTAGGTACTTATTGATACTTATCTGTCCAATTACTAAGTGTCAAAATCATACAGTTGCTCCTGGGAGCCAGGCGAGACACTGGCTAACCTTGGAGGCAATGCAGGCAAGTAAAGACTTGCCCTAAACAGGTAGATTCTCATGAGGAAGAAAATTTAAATCAGGAAGAAAAAGAATCTGGTGTTCCAAGCTGAAGAGAATTCACCTAAATTCCCAGATAACAGTAAAACCCACACACATGAAATGCAGTAAGTCATTAACTTGAAAATTAATAGAAATACAATTGTCCATTGTCTTAAAGGGGAAAAAAAACTATTATAATAAAAACTTTCAAATACTAAAATACTACATACACACGCACATGCGTGCACACATACACACACACACACCCATTACACATACAAATAGCCACAAATCCAAGGTCATTTAAATGGCAGAGGTCATATAAGTCCTTCTAAGGAAATGGGATGTATTCTTGATATTAAGATGATACTTCATCATAAAGACATGATTGGCAGAAAATTGCCAGAGACTACTATCACATTATGTTGGGAGCAATTTTACATTACCTAGAACAATTTTCCCCTTTTCGGTTAAGGAAATAGCTTCAGAAACATCATGTAAGTTTCACAAGATCACAGGTTTAAGCTATGTCAGAGCCCAGGTCTACTTATTCTTAGACCAGAGATCCCGTCGTTAAACCATTTTATTGTCCAGGGAGGAGCAAGATCTGCTGATGACCAAGAACCATAAAAGAAAACACATTATCTTTCTAAACAAAACCGCTTGTAACTAAATCCATCTGATTATTCGCCAGGTACATGAACCACCTTTACCAGGTCTTTAGCATGTTGCCTAACAAACTATGGTAAAGTCCATGAAAAGCTCAAGACAAAAATGTGGTTTCAATGTGATGAACATTTTCAAAACCAGGGTCATAAACAATTGAGATACGTAACAAGTAAACCTTAGTACATAAAATAAGCAGATGGCTCTTTTATAGACACACTATAAGTAAATGATTAATGGGTTAAGTAAATGATAACAAAAAATCTCCAAGAAGCTTTGTTGCTTTTGTTCTGCAACTCTCAAAACGCAGGCTGAAACAATGTACTTTCAATTCGATGGTTGGCCTGATCCTTCTTCAAGTTCTGGTTTCAATAACTCCCAGAGACAACTCTTAACTGTTAATTCACTTTAAGTATATAGGCCAAACATCATTTCAATAATAAAATATCTAAACTCCCACCCATACGCCAGTTATTTTATGTACTAACTATGATATAATCCTTTTGGTTGTAGAGTTTTAGAACTGAGAAGGAAGGACTTTTGACACCATGTAATTCAATAACAATATTATGTAAAAGAAAGAACTAAGATTTCTCAAACAACTTTAATACAACAAAAAGCTTGGTAATCCTTTGGGATTAATATAGAGATAGTAGGAAGGTGTGCTGAATATCCTGTGTGTTAAATGTACATTGCTCTACATATTTCTATCTTGTTTGAAATATTGTGAGTACACATCACTTTTACAACTAAAATACAAAATTCAAAGCAAGGTTTTGCTACTTAATCTTAAGATTTTAAGAATTTAAAAAAACATACTGGCTAATCTGGTAGGAAAATTTCAGTAATATTACTATGAAAAAAACGTTACTATATACAGAGTGTTCCCGCCTCCCCCCAACACTCGGACACACTGTCATTCATCCTCATAACATCCCATAACATAGAGTAGAAAATAAAACGTGAGAAAAGATAAAGTCTTTATAACAGGGAATGACCCTAATTTAAAATTTTCAAAAACATGAAGACTTATAATAGTATTTCTGTGACAAACAGACCCTTTAAGATTATTTCTATATAGCTAAAGACACCGAGGCACAAAAAGATAAAAATTGGAAAGCAGAGGCAAAAAAATCAGTAGTAGCCTTAAATTTAAGACTGCAAATCCTGCACTTTATATCCCAGGTAAAATTCCGAGAACTTCCTTCGCTGAAGGGAAAAATAAAAGGATGCATATGTCTTCTTCACAACAGCTTGTGCAGATACATCATTAACGTACCTATTGTTGTTTCGACAGTTTCGGCAGTTAACACACTCCAGAGGGTCGATCTGAGGCACGGCCGTGTACATTCCACCACCCTGGACAGGAAGGAGGGTCAGAGAAAAAGAAAAGAAGAAGGAATGCTGAAGGTGCCCACAGACCAGTAGCCAAATAATCACAAATACACATAAGCCATGTCAACCATAAATGGGCACACGGTATATTCTAACCAAGTCCCAGAGCAATGTCACTGTCAATATCATTGACCCATATTCACAAAGGAGTGAATGAGAGTTCTGCACTATATTAAACTGTATTCCAAAAACTTCACTGCCAGGTTTTTCTACGTATTTCTGTAATAGACAAAAGCAAATAAATGAAGGGAAAGGTTTAGTCATTTCCCTTCAAATCTAGTGGGCTCAAAATACATTATACGTTATAGCCTATGTTCATTTTTCCTTTCTCGGCAGTCAGGGAAGAATTTCATGTGATGCCAGTTGGAGAAACAGGGTGTAAAACCTGTGTGGATGATGTCACATGATAAACTCATCTTCATTTTCCTGTAATTATTTCGATGAGGTCTGTTCACTTGACAACGCTGAGTTTTAAAGCACGCTATATTTTTCCAGATGGAGGGGATCTGCGGCCAGCAATGACTTGGAGGGGGCGTGTTAATATTTGGATGTTGCTTTTGGCGGAACTGCCCAGCAATTAAGAAAAATGCCCAGATTAACACATACCTCATTGTAAAATGTTCACTTGACAGATAACGATAGCAAGGTTCTTCAAAAATGAAGTTAAAAATTAAACTAGCCTGAGAGTCAGAGGCAGAATTCTGCTTTCAGAAGAAAAACAGAACTGAATTTGATACAAGGTAGGAGAGGCTGTCACACTGCACCCAAACCCAAAGCAGGCCTTCAAGGTTAGGAAAAGTTCAGGCAATTGTTTTTCCTAGAATACTTTCCATTGCCATTCATTTCGTAACAGCAGCCAGAATCTAAGCAGACCAAAAGCGCTGAAAATTTCCTTCAGTGTTTCTGACCCAACCAGCAATTGGAATGATTAGGAACACATCAAGAGAAAAGAACTCTCCTATACTATATTCCGTCTGAGAGCAAACCTGAAAGGTTCAGAAAATGAACTTCCCAACCTGCAGGGTAACGTTGTGGGTTAGGGATTCTCTGAATCCCTAAACATGTTAAAGTTAGTGCAATGATTTTTAGGGTCACTAACACTGTTAAAATTTCTTTATTTCCCCCACCCAGAAAAGAAAAGTAAGAAATCTGATAGTTTAAAATCACAGATAACTTCTGACATTGTACACCAAATGGGGCGCCTATTATTTAAACAGAAATTCATTGTTCAAAAAACCCAAGGTTCTGTGTTCAAACACTAAAGCAAACATTGGCCTTGTTTTTCTTCTTATGGAAACAGTGTGTGCTTGTCAAACGTTACTACTCTCTCCTTCAGTTTTCTTGGACAATGGTAGTAGTTTGGACTAGGAATGATGACCAAAAAAGTTCAGAAGTCTGAATACACGCTGTATCTTTCCACACACAACAACGAAATCATTATTCTCTTTTAGTAATGAGATGCATTAAAGCAAATTAATATTTCTTCCACAACATACAAAAGCCAGGTCACACAAAAGCCATTCCATTTCTAGCTTTAAAATATGAGTACACATTAGTTTTGTTCTCCGAATAGATTTTAACAAATCTTTAATAAACTGAAGATGGGGAAAGAAAACCTCTAAGCTTCTTCAAATCGTAGCACGCTGTGGGTCACGGTAAATTTATCTGTAATCAGAACAATGCCAAAAACTGAGTGCTTAATTCGATCAATTAAACACAGTATCTATTTGATCAAAAGTAATAGAGATGTGCATCCAAACAATGTCATGAATCAAACTTTCTAATGCAGACAACCCCAGCATAAGTCTAAAATATGCTAGTCATTCTACTCCCATTTCGAAAATTAAACGGTATCAACTAGTTATCTCTGAAATCAGGTTGTCTTAAGGGATTATCACTCTTTGTGGCTAAAGAATACTAACATTGTAAAATGTGAAAAGCTTACCAGCCACAACAACAAAACACATTGGGCAAAAACCAACAAAAGCAGCCTGTGAAAGGTCAGAGGTCACAACCGGTGGCTGCAGAGACGTTTGGCATGGCCTACAGATGTTTTCCAATTTTCAATTAGGTGCCAGCATGTAAAAATCGGTCAATTTCACCTGGATTTACAGAGGTTTTGAAAAATCAGAAAATTTGGCAACACTGGGCCCTCAGCCCATGACAACTGTAAGTGTCAAACTGCGGCTGCTTCCCAAAGACACAGTCTGTGCTCTCCAGGTGGCCATCGCCTGCAGTGCTACCATCTCACTCCCACGATATCCTGATCTGCCTGCCTCTTCTCCGCATTTGCATTTTCAAGACCCTGCTCTCAATAAATCAAATTTAAAGTATTTGGTCTAGTCTACGTCCAGTGGTATTTCCATTTCATCTAAAGAACGACTTCCAGTCTGTTCATTGCCGGTATTCCACTTTCAGTGTTTAATAATTTTAAAATGAAACTAAACTGATGAATGTAACTATGACCTGGCAATAGAAAACAACTTACAAAGACTACCCGGGACCAAAGGGCTGCCAGTGATCGACGCTGCTTCCATTCAAGGGAACCTGTGAGGTTTCTATATTGAACAAAGCCCAGCATGCTGTCCCCATTCTGGTGCTTGGCACCCTGAGGGACAGAGGGGTTTTTATTTATAGTTAAGTCTCTTACATTCACTAGATGATGAGGATGTTCGAAATCCACATGCGTCCTGGTTAGAGAGTTGGTGTGCCCAGAGTAAAGCCCTCCATTTAGGCTCCCATTCACGATTCCATTGACTCCGTTGGGGACCTTACGGTGAAGGTGGGAATAGCCACTGCTGAGAGCGCCGTTGGTTAGGAAGCCTCCGTGAACATTTCCATTTATCTGACTCGCTCCCGAGAGAGTGGTGTATTCCACCATCTGCCCACTCATATCTGATCCTTGGTAGAGATATCCTGGTGGGTCATATTCTGTTAAAAGAGAACAAAAAAGCCACACACACACACACACACACACACACACACACACACACAAAATAAGACACTAAAAAGGACAATCTTCTTGCTGAGAAGGTCTTACTGATAAAATCTCTAAGAGACTACAAATAGACTAAAATAAAAACATTTGAAAAATGTTCACTTAAAGCCTACTTGTAAGACATAGTTTAATAAAGTTATTGCTATTATTTTCCATAGAGTGTAGAGATAGTTGTGAACTCTGAGTTAATTATGATTCTGTTAACGGGAAGAAAAATTAACTCAGGAGAAATTACTCAAAAGAGAACGAATATATTGGGCAAGCTAAACCATCAGAGTACTGGCAACACTAGGAAAAAGTGCTTAAACTCCTAGATATTATACTTCAAAGTGCTGAAAACAACGGCATAAAATGACAATAAAAGACTAGCTTTAGGTGGGGTATTTCCAGTAGCAATAAACCACTCTGTTAAGTAAAAGGATGGAGCTGTACATACAGTCACTGACCATTCATACAGCTCCTTAGTCATTATAACCCATTTGGAAGGTGTGGGGTACCAAAGGCAAAAAGTGATTCTCTTTTCTTTTCTTTTTTTTGAGATGGAGTTTCGCTTTTGTTGCCCAGGCTGGAGTGCAATGGCATGATCTTGGCTCACTGCAACCTCTGCCTCCCGGGTTCAAGCAATTCTCCTGCTTCAGCCTCCCAAGTAGCTGGCACGTGCCACCATGCCCAGCTAATTTTTTGTATTTTTAGTAGAGACAGGGTTTCACCGTGCTAGCCAGGCTGGTCTCGATCTCCTGACCTCGTGATCCGCCTGCCTTGGCCTCCCAAAGTGCTATGATTACAGGCGTGGGCCACTGCACCTGGCCTTCGATTTTCTTCTATTAAAAGCATATAAATGACTGTCTCAAAAACTCTGATTTCCAGAGGCACAGCTACCAGATATATGTAGAAAAAGTAAAGTATCTCTTAGAAACTAAAGTGTCCAAACTGTACAGGATTTGTTGTTGGAGCTTGGATAAACTCTTCAAAGGTACGAGAGCTCGCCAAGGCTGGATTAGGTGTCCCTCCTTTCCTTAGCTGCCTGCATTACTGTGCACTCTTGCCCAGGTGTGTAATCTCAGTACACCTGCTTGTGGTCTCCACTAAACTATAAACTTTGAGAGGGCAGACGTGGCGTTTATTTTATTTACCATTACATCTCCACTGTCCAGAACAGTGCCTGGTATACAGAAGACAATGATTATCTTTTGAATAAATGACTGAATGAACACCACCGTGAGAATTATCCATTTTTAAACATATTATCAGGTCACAAAGTAGGATGACTTTAATCCGATTAATATAGCTCAGATGACCAGATTAATACTTCTCTTTTAATGATTCAACATGCACTCACACAGTTAAAGGCAACCACCATCCCTTTCAGATTAATACTTCTCTTTTAATGATTCAACATGCACTCACACAATTAAAGGCAATGGCATTAAAACCACTTAGAAAATCAAATGATCACCATCCCTTTCAGCTTGATGCAGCCACCATCTCTCCCCCTATCTCTTGGACGGCACCATTCAATACAAACAGAGTACTTCCTTCCCCTAGAACCGGTAACTAAAAGGGGAGCATGCGTGAGAACTGGCTAACAGCCACTGGAAGTGCCTGCTGGGGTCGTCCCTCACTTTTCTTTCATTTCCTTATTCTGGAGCCAAAGGGAAAACCAAAAAACTTCCTCCCACCAAAGACTAAACTCTCTGCTTGATTTGATGATCCTATTTTATAATAGCTGAGATAATACGAAAAGTAAGACACTGTGCTGAAGAGAACTGAAGGAAGTGAAAAGAGAAAGGGGGTTCTAGGTTATTTCACTGTTATTTCAAAGCAGAGCCATCGTCGATGTTCAAGCACACGTATTCCTAGATACACTCCAGGGAGAGGATGCCACGCTGGAGCAGTCTTGAGTCCATCAGGCACAGAAACAGGGCTGCATTATCCTCATTGGTTACGTGTCAATCAGTGACAGTGACTTAGAGAAGTTTTCACTACCTGCTTTCCATCATGGCTTTTCTGTTCCCTGTTGGCAAGCTCTGTACCAGTATAAAGGTGTTCCTACAGCAATTCCAGAGCTCAGGCTCCTCTTTGGTGGTCCAACAAAGCTGGAGTTTCCCAGCAATAAGTCAGCTATTTACTTAGAGACCTGCTTAGTTTTGGCTTTGGTGTTTATGTCTGCTGGGCAATTTAATTTGATGCTCCACTTACTCTGGCTGACAGCTAGGATAGTTTTAAAGTCATCTACTCTGAATGAAGAGTATCTCATGTGCTTCGCACCATGACACCAACACACAACAGTGTTAGAAATCAATATTTATTCTGACAATATTTGTCCACCCATCTTTAGAAAAAGAGAAGGAAACACTTATGAGTGACTTACTTTGTATGGTATTCTGCTGGCGATTCTTCCACAGGCACATTGCAATGAAAACCATCAGAATGAGGACCATGACGCCCAGCACACAGCCAACGATCAGATATAACATGTCACTGCTTCTAGCAGGGCTGGCTGCAGGCCCCACATTTCCTCCACTTCCCGAAGAATTTGGAGGGGTACTCAAGTCTTTGACAGGATATTCAGAAGCTCCAGGAACACGTTTCACTAGTTGAAATATAAAGGAAAACATGATGTCAGAGTGAATACAGACTCCATGAAATGGTTTACTCTCTGAAGGAGGTCTGGTTAGGAATGCAAGCCAGTCTGTTTACTCTTGTGACTGAGACGATCTGACCACCAATGAGTCACAAAGAGGGCTCCAAAGTTTAAAAATCTGATGTGCCAAAGTTTTAGTCCACAAACTTTAGAGAAATCCTAAGAGCAGAGGAACACATGCACTTGGTCTAATCCAAACTGCTATATGATTATCTGCTTAACTGTACTTGGAAAAGACTCCCAAATAGTTGAAATGAAAGTGTTTCCACTTAGGCCGGGCATGGTGGCTCACGCCTGTAATCCCAGCATTTTGGGAGGCCGAGGCAAGCAACTGTCTGAGCTCAGGAGTTCGCGACCGGCCTGAGCAACACGGTGAAACCCCGTGTCTACTAAAAATACAAAAATTAGCCGGGCGTGGCTGCGGGTGCCCGTAATCCCAGCTACTGGGGTGGCTGAGGCAGGAGAACTGCTTGAAACCGGGAGGCAGAGGCTGCAGTGAGCCAAGATCGTGCCACTGCACTCCAACCTGGGCGACAGAGCGAGACTCCATCTCAAAGAAAAAAAAAAGTATTTCCACTTATGGATGGAACACAAACTCCTTTCTGTCAGATATATTTTGAGCTAAACAAGACTCAGAATTACATATTTTATGCTTCTACCATGTATATAAAAATCACTACCAATAATAGAAATTATGGCTTTGGGTTACTAGAACAATGACCTTCCAAAATCTCACACATAGTATTAAGCATTCCAAAACCAAAGCCTTTGGAGCCCATGTAGGTGCAGTTCTCTTACCCGGTTCATCGGTATTCTGGGTAATAGCAATAACAAAAACTAGTAACAGGTGGGACTCAAACCTCATTCTCTCATCCCCAAATCGTATGTTCTTACGTCTCTACAAGTCACAGAAAAGCAGCAGAGCAAAGTGGTCGGCAGCCAGTCTCCGGAAGCACACAGCCTATGTGTATACCTCACCTCCACCTATCATTAGCTGTATGACTTTTACCTCCAAAACCTCAGTTTTTATTTATTTTTTATTTTTATTTTTTGAGACAAAGTCTCGCCCTGTTGCCCAGGCTGGAGTGCAATGGCATGATGTCGGCTCACTGCAGCCTCTGTCTCCCAGGTTCTAGCGATTCTCCCGCCTCAGCCTCCCAGGTAGCTGGGATTACAGGCACATGCCACCACACCTGGATTTTTTAAAAATATTTTTAGTAGAGACAAGTTTTCACCATATTGGCCAGGGTGGTCTCAACCTCCTGACCTCAAGTGGTCTACCCACTTTGGCCTCTCAAAGTGCTAGGATTACAGGTGTAAGCCACTGTGCCCAGCCAGTTTTTACATTTTGAAACGGGGATATTAATAAGAGCTCTATCAATTATCTAGTAGTAATGAAGGGTAAACGCGTTAAGCCACGGAAAGCACTGAGAGCCTGGCTCAGGGTGGTGGCCAATCAGTTCTGCTGTTATTATTGGTTATACTGAATTTCCTGTTACGGTGCCAACAAACCACAGAAGCAAAGCAGCTTTTTAAAAATCTACTCAGCTAAACAGACACAGATGAGAAAAAATGCTCATCATCACACTGCTCATTAGAGAAATGCAAATCAAAACCACAATGAGATACCATCTCACACCAGTTAGAATGGTGAGCATTAAAAAAGTCAGAAAGCAACAGGCTGCTGAGAGGGATGTGGGAAGAAATAGGAAACCCTTTTACACTGTTGGTGGACTGTAAACATTCAACCATTGTGGAAGACGTGTGGCAATTCCTCAAGGGATCTAGAAATAGAAATACAATTTGACCAGCGATCCCATTACTGAGTATATACCCAAAGGATTATAAAGCACCGCTCTATAAAGACACAATGCACACGTATGGTTTATTGGTGGCACTATTCAATAGCAAAGACTTGGAACCAACCCAAATGTCCATCAATGACAGACTGGATTAAGAAAATGTGGCACATATACACCATGGAATACTACGCAGCTGTAAAAAAGGATGAGTTTATGTCCTTTGTAGCAACATGGATGAAGCTGGAAACCATCATTCTGAGCAAAACCAAACACCGCATGTTCTCACTCCCAGGTGGGAATTGAACAATGTGAACCCTCGGACACAGGGCGGGGAACATCACACACCGGGGCTTGTCATGGGGTGGGGGGATGGGGGAGGGATAGCATTAGGAGAAATATCTAAAGTAAATGATGAGTTAATGGGTGCAGCACACCAACACGGCACATGTACACATATGTAACAAACTTGCATATTGTGCACATGTACCCTAGAACTTAAAGTATAATAAAAAAAAAAAAAAGAGGAAAAACCAGGAAAAAAATAAAAAATAAAAATCTACTTGGCTGGGCGCAGTGGCTCATGTCTGTAATCCCAGCACTTTGGGAGGCGGAGCTGGGCAGATAACGAGGTCAGGAGATCGAGACCATCCTGGCTAACATGGTGAAACCCCGTCTCTCCTAATAATACAAAAAATTAACCAGGCTTGGTGGCACGTGCCTGTAGTCCCAGCTACTCGGGAGGCTGAGGCAGGAGAATCACTTGAACCCAGGAGACAGAGATTGCAGTGAGCCGAGATCACGCCACTGCACTCCAGCCTGGGTGACTCCGTCTCAAAAAAAAAGTCTATTCAACAAACAACATTAAATTGGGGTTCAATTTTCTAGCAGCATCAACCACACCAAACAGAGCTGGGAATGAGAAAAGAAGTCATCTTTCCAGAGAAGGTGTTCTCTCTTATTGAAAGCTGGATGAGTACTTGGCAGAGATGCTAAAGGAAATTTCTACTTGAGGTGGTACGTTAGATTATTCAATTCTATGTCCTGGCCGACCCTAAAGAAAACAAGAGAGTTTCTGAGGCACAATGGATGTTCCGTATCATATATAAAGATCATGATTACTCATAGGGAAGTCAGTCAGGTTTAATCACTCTTTATTTATTCTTAATTCATTTGTAATTCTATCGACCTTCATGATCTGGTTTCCAACCCCTTGCTAAAGTTAAAAACTGAGGACAGATGGCTTGCATTGAAGGGTGAGTGAGATCCATTAACACTGATAGGAAGAGACAGATAACAGCCTGAAATAAGAAAGGTGAGATGAAAAACATAAAGAAAAACCAAAGAACTAAAAGAAACATCACAACAGTCTCTGATCTTCGGTGGGAAGGGAAAACAGCCAGCCTTCAGCGCCTCTGTCATCCCTGAAAACCTTCCTCAATTACTCAGGATAAAACCATCATTGTTCACAAGAACCTAGAGTCATTTTTTAAAGGTTGAAGTATACATGAGATCTCCCATCTAAACAGGCTGGGAATTATGTAATACATAATTACATAAAAGTCATTCAACATGAATAGTTAACATTTCAAAGTTTTTTGTTTTTCACTGATCTCAACATGAATAGTTAACATTTCAAAGAAGTTTTTTGTTTTTCACTGATCTCAACATGAATAGTTAACATTTCAAAGAAGTTTTTTGTTTTTCACTGATCTGAAAGTCTATAGGTAGAACCTTTTCATTCCCTACTGATGTCAGAAAATGAGGTATACTATTGTAATCACAGCTATACTATTATACTACTATAAATAACAGTTATAATGTTTTATGTTTCGTCTGGCTAGATTCTTAAATGTCCTGGGGGCAGAGATGATAAATTTCATTTTTATTTAACTTTACTCCAAGTATCCCATGCACACATCAGTGTCTGGTACAAAAAGGCACTCAAATATATGCTAAACAAATGAAATTCAAGGTAAGTCTAAAGGTATGTGGATATATGTTTAAGTATGGACTTAAGATGTGAGTATTGCAGCAGAGACACACATGATTTAGAATTTAAAAGCTAGAACTAAGCCTTGGCTTATCATTCAATCTTTTGGAGCCTCCATTTCCTCATTTTTTAAAAACCTACTTTTTCATGTCCTCATTTTTAAAAAGGAATAATAAGATCACCTGTAGAGACACTGATGGCTGCCCAGCTCACTCAACAGCCGTCTTTACCATGTTATCAGAGCTCCAATTTTGTTTGAGTGTCTACCTCAACCCCACAGAACTCTGGGATAAATCTGGTCAATGGTTTGGGGGCAATGTGTGGCTGAATTGTGACTAATGAGACTTGTGGGAAGATCTAGTAGAGGCCTTTGGGGGAAATTTTCCTTGTTCTTGAAAACAAACACTATCAGACATTATAACACCTTAAAGGTGATGCCCAGAACTGAGGCGAGCTAACAGCAGTGCTAGTCTTAGGGCCAAGCTGGCAACGGGAACATGGCAAACAGGAAAGACAGAAAACAATGAACTTTTCTTTTTTTTTTTTTTTTTTGAGACAAGGTCTCACTCTCTTGCCCAAACTGGAGTGCAGTGGCCTGATCTTGGCTCACTGCCACCTCTATCTTCCAAGCTCAAGCGATTCTCCTGCCTCAGCCTCCTGAATTAAACAACCTTGGAATTAGTTACCTACTTCTGGGCTGCTTATTTTTGGGATAACACATTTCTTCACTGTTGAAGCCTACTGAGAGGAGATTTTTGTGTTCCTTGCAGTTGACAGTATCCTCAAAGTTGTTGTGAAGATTAACTGAGACTGTGGACAAGAGTGTTTTTGCTTGTAAACATCTACATGAGCTATTTCTATTATTCCCCTGTGGTATCTTCTCTTCCTAAACATGGCAACACTCTTGACAGTGAATCTACCTATGCAGGCAGAGTTGAGAATGTTCAATTTAGAATTAGCAACTGCTAATTCTAAACTTTACTACACTTAATTAAACAAGTAGATAGAAGTCATATTATCTGTCACTCAAGAAACTACTTTAAACATATGTTTCACTTCTTAATATTCTTAAACTTTTGTTAGTATTCTCATTTTCACAGCAATCTAGAAAGTAGTCAACAAATATTTTTATCATCTTTGTAAAGAAAAAGGGAAGGGTTCGTGACCAGCCTGGGCAACACAGTGAGACGCCATCTCTAAAAAAAAATAAAATAGGCTGGGCACGGTGGCTCAAGCCTGTAATCCCAGCACTTTGGGAGGCCAAGACGAGCGGATTACAAGGTCAAGAGATCGAGACCATCCTGCCTAACACGGTGAAACCCCGTCTCTACTAAAAAAAATACAAAAAACTAGCCGGGCGAGGTGGCGGGCGCCTGTAGTCCCAGCTACTCGGGAGGCTGAGGCAGGAGAATGGCGTATAAACCCAGGAGGCGGAGCTTGCAGTGAGCTGAGATCCGGCCACTGCGCTCCAGCCTGGGCAACAGAGCGAGACTCCGTCTCAAAAATAAATAAATAAATAAAATTAAATAAAAATAAAGAAAAGGGAAGGGAGGTGATTTACTTAAGAGTCACACAGAAATTAACAAACAGGATTAATGATTACGTAAACTACTTTTTAGACAAGTATTCGAGCCCACATGTTATACATTTGTCTGGACAGTGTAAGTGTATGCACCTAGAAAATGGTCCAAAGCAGAAATTTCCTTAGGCAAATATATCAATAGTCATGGCTGGGTGTGGTGGCTCATGCCTGTAATCCCAGCAGTTTGGGAAGCCCAGGCAGGTGGATCACCTGAGGCCAGGAGTTCGAGACCAGCTTGGCCAACATGGTGAAACCCCATCTCTACTAAAATTATAAAAATTAGCTGGGCGTGGTGGTGTGCACCTGCAGTCCCAGCTACTTGGTAGGCTGAGGCAGGAGAATGGCTTGAACCCAGGAGGCAGAGGTTGCAGCAAGCTGAGATTGTACCACTGCACTCTAGCCTGGGCGACAGAGTGGGACCATGTCTCAAAACAAAACAAAACCCAGAATATATCAACAGTCAGAAACAGTAATCCAGGGTTGGAATTCTATCACTGTCCAGGGAAAAAGCAAAACTTCTCCCACCTTTAGTCTCGCAGATCATCACATTGCTAAATTCACTTTCTCCTCCTTCGTTGAAGCATTGCATTTTAATGTCATAGGAGGTTTCTGGCTGCAGGTGGCCAATCATGTGCCACTGCTTTGAACCTAAAAGGAAAAATAAAAGGCTTTACACATCATACAGCCTAAATGATAATATCGATATAATTAGTTAATGTTTTCAGGATGAGGCTGGAGCAGCATCCACCAGCATCTAGTAGTTTGTGCAATAAAAATGTCCTTAACAGTAAGTATTTGACTAATGCACCACAGATAAATAGCATTTCTATTACACAGCATGAAGGAAAAGTAAAGAGAAGAGATAAGCTGACTTAAAACTATATCTGTGTGTTGGCAATAATACTTGTTTCACTAAAGATAATTAGTGGGGAGTCTTTCATAAAATACATGTTAATTTTATGCATACGAAAGAAACCTCAAGTCCTTTCATCCCCATCTTAACCCAGTCCACTATGTTCCTCCACCAAAAAGCAACAGTACATTCGGGACCAGCAAATGGTGCACTACCCAGAGCAACTGACCAGTTACGAGAATGGCCCGAGCAAAGCTCTCAATTCCATTGTCATGGATGCAACATGAACTGACATATGACCGAATGCCCGAATAAACTGCTGAGAATCACCAAAAAGCAAAATCTACTATGGGAAACTCTTGGCCGCCACCCCCACTCCTGCGTTCTTTTGAGTCAAGATCTTCAAACCACACAAGTATCTCCAGTAGAATGATTCTGTTATCTGTGGCACACAGCCAACATTTCATTTAGAAACACTCCTAAATTGAACACTCCAGTAGAAATCACTCTTCATTTTGACTTCCATGGACTGGTGACAACCTTTCATAAGCAGGGACACTTTTGCCAGATTAAATTAACTCTTCAAGTACCCTTAATCCCTTGTAGAAACATCTCTTCAGACTGTCTCCACTGTTTCGTAGAAACTCAAGCATACCCCCGACTGATTTAAGAATTAATTAAAGGGGGAGAAAAAAAGCAAAACAAAACCACATATGCAAGTTAAATCTACTTGGCTGACAGGACCAATATCACCAGACTCCTTTCTAACTCAATGCAGACAAAAATATTTCAATCTGGAAGTACAAGCCTCTTTCCAGGTCAACAGTACAACACCCTTCACTTGTATAGACCCACGGTTTCGAAGGAAGAAAATCTGCTTGTTTTAGGATCGTCTCTGAAAGGCTCAAAAGTGAGGAGTTCTATGCCCCATTTACAAATGTAAAAAGGATCCCCCAAAAGATACTGACTCAAAAACTGGTTGAAAATGGAATAGATCTGTCTCTAAAATCCAAAGGCTTTCCAAAAAACTTCTTTTTTTTCTCTAGCCTTGGGTCTTTCCCAACCTGGCCCTACACTCACCTACACTACATTCTCTTGAATAATTACTACACTAGATTTGAAGTTTTCCTTTCATAGCATTCATAAAAATGGAATTAAACTAGGCTTTGGATATGTTACTAATAAGAGAAAAATCGTTAAAATGATACATATTTTGTTAGATTAATATTTCATTGTTATAGTTATTCTTCCACTGGCTAAAATTACAGGAAATAACAGCAAAGAGAAAGAATTTTACTGATCATTGATGAATAAGACAACTAAGTACATCATTAGGTTTAAAACCGACCAACCAGCACATATCCTTGGATTAACAGGCAATTATTTTCCCAAAGGATATTTTAGAAAAGGTAAGGATTTACCTCAGAGAGAAACCAAAGCACAGACTTAAAGATCAGAATGACTGATACTTTATTTGGAATTGACTTAACTTTAAAAGATAAAAATATTCAACACTAAAACACTGGTGTGCTGGAAACATATACAGTTTACCTACATGTGGAACCTAATTCAGAAAACAGGATAGCTTAATTGTCCTTCTCTTACTGTATTCTTTTACAATTTGACTTTTAATTTTGTTTTCAAAAGTTTAAATGTTGGGTCAATTCACAGAAGTAATCCAAAACTTTAAAAAAAAAAAAAACTTTAAGTACAAAGGATGAATACTTTTGTTCCTGCTTTTTGGAGAACAGACCAATAGTTTCCAACTGCCACAAAAAGAATTTCAAATGCATAAACTTGAAAATACAGAATAAGCAAATTACACAGCATAGTGAAGTCCACTTAAACATCTAACTGCTCAGTATATTACATTTATAAACAAATGCTCTGTGAACCTATGGCAAAACTCACATTTGCAGACACTACTAGATATAAAAGCTTCTTTAAATAATTTCCAAGTTCCATGCTCAATATGCATATTTCAGAAGTTTGTAAAAGCTCAAAGATTTGACTAGAGAATATGGTTTTAAAACTGTTTATTAGTGGATATTTCTAGAACATAGAACCAAGAAGGGTGATGATGAGAGACAGAAAAACAGAGAGACAGAGACAGATACTCATTTTACTTAGAACTATTTTATGGCAAATGTTTAGCTTCTGTAAAAAAATTTTAAAAATAAAATTCTGACATCCCCACTGCCCTAAAGTCAATGAAATAAAAGGAAGACCTAGACAGGCCCAAAATGGAGAACAAGCACTATTAGTTTGGTGCAAAACAATTGCGGTCTTTGTCATTAAAAGTAATGGCAAAGACCGCAATTACCTTTTACTTTTGCACCAACCTAAATATTCTTCTTCCTTTTCTTTTTTAAAATAGCCTTTTTAGTGATGTAAAGTATGCATAGAGAAAAGTCCACATAACTGTACCGCTCAATGAACGTTCACAAACTGGACATGCCCATGGCACCCATACCTAAGTCAACAAAGAGAACACAGGAAAGCCCCCAACCCAAACATCCCTCATGCACCTTCCAGACTCTTCTTTCCCGTGAGACAGCTACTATGGTGAGTCCTAAGAGCACAGAATAGTTTTGCCAGTAAAAGTTATGGCAGAAAAGAAAGAATCATTCCCTCATTCAAAAAATATTTACTGAGCACCTACTATGTGCCGAGCATTAAGAACTGGATCATAAATTTCTCATTATAGTACAAAAGTCATTCCACTGGATAAATATGAAAAGGACTGCTATAATATTTTAAGAAATGTGATACAGCATAAAGTAATTTATTAGAACACAAACTATATGCAGTATTTGATGTCAAGAAGTCATATGGAAAATAACCTTGGCCTATGGCAATTTTCTGACATAATTCACTAGCACATTTCTTCTTTCAAAGAATCAGAATCTTGAAGTGAAAAAAAGAACTTGGAAGAAGCCTTCCTCCAAAGGCAAGAATCCCTTCCAAGATATCACTGAGAAGTGGGCGTTCAGCTTCTGCTGAACACTTCCAGCATTAAGGAGCTGACGACTTTGTGGGGGAACCTATGTTAGGAATGCTATGTTAGAAAGTTCTTTCTTACACTGCTTTCTTGCAACTTCCCCTCCCCCAACGGACTCAGCTCCTCTTCCACATAACAGTCCTTAAATACTTGAAGGCAGCGATCAGGTTGCTTCCGCTAGTCTTTTTCAACCCGAATATTGTTAGACATTCCCTTGTTCTTTTTGGACTCCATTCATACATTAATTCAATACTGGTCACCTCACCATTGTAGGTTCTGGAGACATAGCAGTGGGAGAAAAGGTCCCGTGCTCACCAGGGAGTTAACATCTAGTAGAGGAGACAGACTTTAAGCAAACAGTTTCAAACACACACACACACACACACACACACACACACACACACACACACACCATGTACTTAAACTTTGATAACTGCTATGAAATAAACATAAAGGGTATGGTTAGAAACTACGGCAAGGTACCCTCTCATGTAAATGAGAGGAAGTTACCTGAGAGGAAGTTACGGGGAAGATCCGACTCCCCGTAACTTGACTGTCAAACATTTTGAAAAGTGGGACAATTTTTCTGTGCACGCAACTAGGTAAAGGCAACAGGAACTACCCTGTGCCAAGGTCCTGAGGCAAAAATGTCTCAGTGCACACAAGGAAACTGAAAGAAGGGCCAGAAAGGGAGAGGTGCAAGAGACGTGGTGTAGACAGAGGCCAGCCAGGTCAGGTGGAGCCTTCAGGCCATAGGCAAAATTGTGGATTCTATTTAAATGCAGTTAAAAAAGCAGCACCATCTTCTTAGCTGTTTTCTTTCTTTTCTACATGCATTCCAGTTTCTCAGCATCTCTACAAGCGAGAAAGAGGCTTAAGACGTGATCTTTCTAGGACAGACTCCAGCGAAAATGAGTGAGATATTATTTTTTAAAAGTAGCTAAACATTGCAATGGATTTTTAAACTCAGGTCACTGTTCATTTAAATGAAACAGAAATCAAAATGTTCTTTCAGATGAACTACTACTGATTATTCGTATTTCCCCCAAATGTTTGTACAAGTTTCTGCAACCAAAATATAAGGTGCTGCATATATTAAATGGGAAAAGGTGACTTTCTATGGGACAAATTCAACAGCAATAACACATACACCATTCCACTTTGTACTGTCTTAACTTGGGATGATGCATTTTACATTCATCAACCTTCTTTCTCCAAAGCTCCTTTACAGGGACTCCAGTAGGCCAGCTGGACTTACCTTCTACAACGTCCCTCTTGTAATCACTGTCATTGTCACTATCTGTTGGTCGGTAATAGATATAAAATCCTTGAATGGGAGTGTTATTGTTACTGGATGGAATGTACTAAAAAATAGAAGCAAAGACTTGTCAAAGAGAAAAATAAACACAACTTTCTCATTCATTAAGGTTTCTTTATCTACTTGGTCACATTTTTCTAGTTTTGTTTTGCAAACATACCAATAATGGCCATTTTAAATTTACTTCAAAGGTATTAAAAGCATTTAGCTTATTGCAAAGTTAAACAGAAATAAGGCAGTACATTTCCCCGGGTTCAAAAGCATAAAAGCACATTTGGTTCCAAATGAATAAATCACGATGGCAATTAAGTTAACAACATTTGGATGAGAGCTGAGGAAACAATAATTTTCCTTTTAACCCTGCCCCTCCTCAAAATATGTGCTCTTATTTAGACAAATATTGGTGCCCTTGCATGTCCCCTCAATTAAAGTTCAAAATTTGCTGTTTACTGTATTGTGTCATGAGAATATTAAATTGACTGTTAACATGACCAAACCAGAAGATCTCATTCCAGAAGATGTTTACTGACCGTCCACTTTAGCATGATCTGAGTATCGCTGACAGCCTCTGTGTACGCAATGTGGGGTCCAGTTACTGGACGGTTGGAAAAGCGACTGGGGAACCCAGCCACCTGATAAGGGCGAGATGCTGAACTCCGAAAACTCTCACCATAATGGTTGATGGCAATGACCCTAAATTTGTATGTTGAACCTTTGAGGGAAAACAAAAACAAACAAACAACAACAACAACAAAACATAACTAAGAAAAGCTGTAATAAGACAATGAAAGGCAGAATAGTCAAAATATGGCAATTGTGCTTAAGTACCTATCTATAATAAAGTATCTAAAGCCCGCATGGTAAATAGATTTCAACCCAATTGACAATTTCAATCAACTGGGAGTGGCTGCTCCATGCATTGTGTTCAAGATCCCAAGACCTTCTTAGGAGTCACCAAGAAAGAGGGTTGAAAAAGATTAATGACATCTCAGGGAAGAAGCAGGTAGAGAATAGGAAAGAGGACATCCACTCTTTTCACCATCCTATTAAGTCATACCCGTCAATGACAGTATTAGTTGAACTATCTGTCCCCAAAACTAGGTTCTTTTCACTTTAAAAGAAACAACTGAAGCACGGTTTAATCCGGTGAATACACTCATAAAGAGGCACTGTGTGGGCGGCCACAGATGTCACTCTGGCTTCACTGCTAACAGGGTAAGAGGGAGCAGATTTAACTACTGGGGAAGGAATTATTTGAATTAGATATTAAGAACTTAAAAAAATGTTGAGGACTGTGAATTTCTGAAAATCTGAACCTAAAGAATAAATTAAAATCCTAAAGCAAGTTTCCTGATAGCTCAAAAATAATTACTGAGCTTCTGAAGACAGTGTTTTCAATCTACGGAATGTTTCTTAGCTTCACCCACATTTAAAACTGATGCTTCTCCCAACTATACCTACTTGACCCTATGCTGCGCATGTTGCTTGTTTTAACAGCCATAGGCATTTGCTACTAACATAGCAAATTTTTTCCTGGACATTTAAAAGTCCAGAAAAAAATCGCCATGAAACCTAAACGAAAGTACAGAAAGTTGATTTATGCTTTTCGTCTTTTATGGTTTAATTTCTCTCATATAGCCTCAAGATTCTTGTGGGGAGGGGAGGGTTTCTCTGCTGAAACAAAACTTAAAGAACAAACAGGTGTTCATCACTGACTCACGTCCATAACACGAAGCACTGAGTATTACAACTGTGCTGAAATTCAGCAGATCAAGTAATTTTTGTCAAATAACAAGCAATTTTCCTCTCAAAGTATTCAGTCATAGCAAAACACACACACATATAAGATGTATACCACAGTATTTCTAACTCCAAACAAACAGTAATACTCTAAAGATCAGAAATAAACAATAGCTAAGTGGATTATGCTATATTTATTTATATGAAAGGTAAATCTCTACTAAAAGTTGAGTTTGTGAAGAATTTTTAATGATACTGGAAAACATATATGATAAAATATGGGGAACATGGGATAACAAAACAGTATTTATGGCATGATCCTGCGGTGGCTCATGCCTATAATCGCAGCACTTTGGGAGGCTGAGGCGGGCAGATCACCTGAGGTCAGGAGTTCAAGACCAAACTGACTAGCACAGTGAAACCCCATCTCTACTAAAAATACAAAAATTAGCCGGGCGTAGTGGCAGGTGCCTGTAATCCCAGCTACTCGGGAGGCTGAGGCAGGAGAATCACCCGAACATGGGAGGTGGCAGTTGCAGTGAGCCGAGATCGTGCCATTGCACTCCAGCCTGGGCGACAGAGCAAAGCTCTGTCTCAAAAAAAAAAAAAAAAAAAAGAGAGAGAGAGAGACAAAGGCTACGAAAAAATACAACGAAATATAAACAATGATTATCTCTGAATGGGTGGATTTTAGGTGACTCATTCTCTTCTTTATATTTTCTTTATTTACACATTTTTATACAATAAGCATGACTACTTTAACAATCAGAAAAAAATATAAGACTACTAAAAATTTCCATCTGCCAGGTGCTATGACTCACGCCTGCAATCCTGGCATTTCAGCAGGAGACCGAGGGCGGCAAATTGCATGAGCACAGGAGTTCAAGATCAGCCTGGGCAACATGGCAAAACCCTGTCTGTACAAAAAATACAAAAATTAGCCAGGCACGGTGGTGGGTGCCTGTAGTCTCAGCTACTTGGGAGGCTGAGGTAAGCCATGATTATGCCACTGCACCCCAGCCTGGGCCAACAGAGTAAGACCCCATCTCAAAATATATAAATGTATGTATCTAAAGTTCACATCGATGGTAAAAGGAAATGTTTGAATATTACTACCTGGTTCTAAACTACGAACTTCCACTGAAAGTTTGGAAGGAGGGATGTCTTCAGCTGCCACCAGCCAATCGCTGGTCCTCATCCGTTTATATTCAACTTTGAAGGCAGTGATTGGAGACCCCCCATTTGCCCGAGGAATCCAAGTGACATAGACCGATGTCTCTGATGCAGTGGAGATGGTAGGCCGATCTGGTGCCTCTGGAACTAAACACGGAAACGTTCATTTCAATAACCCACCATGTCAGAGACAAGCATCACATAGATAAATGAAAAGGATAAGTCCCAAACTTCCTCTTATTAAACGTTCTTCACCAAACTTTTTGCCAGAGTTTATAACATTTACAGCTATCTTCCCGTCCTCTGTGAAAAGCAAATGGGAATACAGGAAATAAAAGAAAGAGAAAGTAAAATAATCTATAAATTTGATAATTAGCTCTGAAAAACTGAAAGCTAACAAGTATGATCATTTTGACCATGCTATTCGGATTCATGGCTAAAATAATATGTAAGTACTATTTGATGCTTCCAGTTTGACTGTGGTTAAAATTTATAATAAACTTTCACAGTTATGTGTTATCTTATTTATATGTTTTTCTTCATCTATCCAAGCTACACAAAATGCATTCAGCAACCTACTAATTCTAATACTATTACTATTCCATATTATCTTAATACACCTCATGGCTATAGGAAGGTTACTCCAAAATACAGACTACAAGTTGGCAAACAGAGATAAAATCTGACTGATAAAATCAATACTGTTAATAAAGGGGAGAGAGAATGCTGCTCAGGAGGAATACGGGAAGACAGGAGATGTCGTTAAATCAAAGTGCTAGCAGAAAACATGATCCACGTGAACATGTAGAAAGGGGGTCAGGGAGCTAGGGTCTAGCAGTTTTCACTTGGCACTGCCGAGGAAAGGGGATGCCCTGACACACGAAGTACATGGTCTAGACCCTGCAGGAGGTGAAAACATGAGGAAGAAGCTCATCAGCCACTGAAACCATGTATCTAACTCTTCTTGATGACCAAGGGATATGGCTTGGATACTTATTCCCTCCAAATCTCCTGTTGAAAAGTGATCCTCAGTGTTGGAGGTGGGGCCCGGTGGGAGGTGTTTGTGTCATGGGGGCAGTTCCCTCATGGTGGCCTGGTGCCCTCCCCTACATGGTAGTAGGCGAGTTTTCACTCTGTTGATTCACAGGAGAGCTGGTGACTTAAAAGCATGTGGCGTCTCTCTTGCTCCCATTCCCACTATGTGATGTGCCTGCTCTCGCTCCACCTCCCACCATGACTGTAACCTGAGGCCTCACCGGAAGCCAAGTGATGCTGGTGCCATGCTTGCATAGCCTTCAGAACCATGAGCCAAATAAACCTCTTTTCTTTATAAATTACCCAGCCTCAGGTATTCCTTTATAGCAACACAAACAGACCAACACAACAAGCAATCTTGTGGTTGTAACTGGCTTCCCACTGGGTTCCTACAAGGAAAGAATGCGGATAGAAATAATCCGGTCTGTATGACAGTGACATTGCAAACTTGTAAGTGCCATTCTGGTTTGCCTTGATCATCTGTGAATTGTGTAGACATGAGCCGGTTTTCAAGAAACCAGTGATCTTCCGGCATGCTGCCAATCAAGTTTCTAGAGCTGGAACGTGGAGGGCCAACTCTGGGCCACGGTGGCAGTAGTTACTTTGGGAAAGCCGACAGGGAGCCCCACCTCTAGCCTATGCCAAGCTCCTCAACCGAGCAACACCCTTCCACCTCAACAGGTCTTCAACCCGCCATATAAATACATAAGAGAGAAGAAAAGAAAGTTCAGTGTGGTATTTGTATGGAGAAAACTGTAGCACTTTAAAAAACAAATTGCTTAAGGGATAAAAGAGGACTATATTCAAAGCAGGCAATGCTGAGTGATACTTACTGTATTCCTTTCAAGGTAGAAAGCAATGAAAACAGAATGAATAGAATGGTTAGTGACTCTTTTTTAATACTAGAAAACCAAACGACTTCCTTAATGTTGACTCGTCTGAAATCAAAATTCACCTAACACCACAGATCAAACAGGAAAAATAAAGTTATTGGAGAAAATATCTCTGCAGAAAAGAATATCTTCAATATCTAAGAGAAATAGCATGTGACTATCAACAAGGTATAAAAGGAAGACAGCACTTGGAGTTAGACATAGACTTGAATAGCAAGCAGTTCCTCCACTTTCTGGATGATCTGAGGCATCGTGCATAACCTCCTCGTGTGTCACTTTCCTAATCTGTAAAACAGATACGGAAATCTGTTCCTCATTAGGTTGTTATGAATATTAAATAAATCATTTCTTATGGTTATCTCTTCTTGGACAACTCCAAACTCATGATTTCCAAAACTGAATCCATAATCTTCACCTAAAAACTCTTATTACTTATCTTGGTAAATGGTCTTCTGGCGCCCACACCCAATCCATCATCTTCCTCCTTCTCATTCAGTGTGGATTCCATTCCCCTGATCTCTCATACAGGTCCTCCCCCTCCTCCATCCACACTGTCACTCGCCTTATTATTTCTCTAGCCTTTTCTTTTGCTATTCCTCCCTTCTCCTTCTCTAAAATCCTTAAGGGTTCATTATAGCTTTCAAGGAAAGATTCAACTTTGAAGGGTATCACACAAGGCACCTACCTGCCTGCCCACTATAGCATCATTCCCCACAGCAACCAGTCACACTAAATAAAATCTCTAACCTCTCAATCTCTAAACAAAATAGAACATGTCAGCCAGTTGTCTATTGCACAAGATGCCTTTGCTAGAAACTCCTTTCCTGTTTCATCTATCTGTATCGTCTTTGTCCTTTGCAGCTTAGCTTACGATGCAGAGAAGCCTCTCTTATCTACTCACCCTTGTCTACATTGAGTGACTGACTTAGATAGTTCTCTTGTGAACCCGTAACACGAAGGGTATCAAGCATAATCAATCAAAATCGTTACTAGTTTGTCTACATTATCCACATATTGTTATGAGTTTAGCTATCTGTATCATCCACTATACTGTAATTAAAAAAAAAAACAACAGGATCTCACTCTATCACCCAGGCTGGAGTGCAGTGGAACAATCACAGCTCACTGCAGCCTCAAATTCCTGGGCTCAAGCGATCTTTCTGCCTCAGCCTTCTGAGTAGCTAGGACTACAGGTGCACCCCACCACACAAGGCTACTTTATAAGTAGAGACCAGGTCTCACTATGTTGCCCAAGCGGTTCTCAAACTCCTGGACTCAAGTGATCCTCCTGCCTCAGCCTCCCAAAGCACTAGCATTACAGGCATGAGCCACTGTGCACCACCATGCTAGGCCTACATTGTAAACTTCTTGAAGGCAAGGATTATTTTATCTTTGCTGTTCCAGCATTTCATATAATATCTGCCTGAGGATGTGTAAAATAAATGGCAAGGTTTTTGTTTTTCAGACGTTACTTTTATTCACATGAAATTAATACTCTTATACATAATCTGCTTAAGGTAGCTGAAAGGTGCCTCAGAGACAAGTAGAAGAGATTCATGATACTGAAGATACAGAGGTGCTCCGGAGGGAGTTCAAAGTGTTACAACCTGCTTTTGTCTGAGATCAATTCATGGAAAATGGTAAAAATATGGAAGAGAAGTCTGAAAATTCTCAGAGCTTAGCAATGAAATTTTAAGTCTTCCCTAGATGTCCTGATGTTTTAGAACAATCACAAAAAGCACACCTGGCTGTAAGTGTAGAGCTCATGTAAGTGCGAAATTTAAATACTAAAAAAGTCTTTTGAAAATTATATAGCCAAGACCTTTAAAAACCATAAGATTAACTAGATATAGCAAAAAAAAAAAAAAAAAAAAAGAAAAGAAAAGAAAGGGGAATGTAACATGTAATCCTTCAGTAAAACAACTTATCACAGGTACCACTATACATTTTGATGAGTCACACACATAAAAAGTGAGATTTTCAGAGTTCAGAATATAAATTTCCTTCTCTTACCAGAGAAGAAACAGAAAACTCATTTTTGTTGTTGTTGTTGTTGTTTCTTTTTTTTTTTTTGAGACCGGGTCTCACTCTGTCATCCAGGCTGGGGTGCAGGGGTGCGATCTCAGCTCACTGCAACATCTTCCTCCCAGGCTCAAGCGATCCTCCCACGTTGGCCTCCTGAGTAGCTGGGACTCCAGGTGTGTGCCACCACACCCGGCTAATTTTTTTGAATTTTTAGTAGAGACAGGGTCTCCCTCTATGTTGCCCAGGCTAGTCTCAAACTCCTGGTCTCAAGTGATCTGCCCACCTCAGCCTCCCACAGTGCCTAGCCACAAAACTCCTTGAGTTCTAAAAACTTAGTACCAGAACATTTTGAGTCAAAGTTAATGAAGTTAAGTACTAATCATGACACTGAGATGCCAAAGTTTAAATATAGGACATTAAAATGGTTGAAATAGAACCTAAAAGACCTGTACGGTAAGATATGAAAATAAACACCCTATTCCACCCCACCTCCCAAAATCTGAAGCAGGTCAGTTACATTTGTAAAGAAACAATAAAATATTATTCTTTTTACCTCCACTGTGCCTAGAGGAATCTGTAAGTACCACTCCAAAATTGTTGTTTGCAGCCTCTGAAACAACAGGATACTTAGGGATGCCCACGGGTGGAGAGGATGCCTGGGTGTTTTTTGATGATGCTGTTTTTTCTAGAAAGGTAAAAAACCATATACAGTAACATGAGCTTATACGCATGTGAAGTGGGGAAAAGAAGTACTGTGAAACTTACCTGGTATGTGGTTATAAATCTATGAACTGATCTGCCACAGCATCTATATGTAAGACCTGCTTCATAAATACTTAGCTGATCTGAGGAACTGACCAAAAATTACTCTGTCTTTTTCCAGTATCTTTAAAGTAAAGCTAAAATATGCCTTTCTTCATTCTAACTTTACGTATCCAAAACACATAGGTGAAAAAGCCAAATGACTAGGGGTTCAAATTATTCGTCCATTTTTCTTTTTACTGTATATATTTCTTAATTCTAAGCCATAAAACTCACCATTAAAGAGCTTCTGCTAAGTTTTCTAAGGACAAGTGTCACATCGTTTTAATATTTCAAGAGGCAAAAAGTGAAACTGCGTGATTTGTTAAAAACTGAAACTAAGATTACTCAGTATTTATAAGTCAGACTCTATGAACACCTAATGACTGATGATGAAAATTAACTCAAGATACATTTAACATAGAAAGTACCTGTTATTCTTCTGGCCAGACTTAGTAATTATTTGAAAGGGTCTTTTTCAAAAGCCACTAGCTGGTTTCTTCTCAATCTTCACACCTCCTTTTCGTTACAGTGCGATACTGAAATACTCTTCCACCCAGTTCCCTTCTCTACCCACTGACGTGTCTTTGTTCATTTACAGCCAAGCCATGACGGCATCTTTTTTTATCAAGGATTCCCTCACAAGCTGCCCCGCAGAAAAAAATATCCTTCCTTTGTGCTTCCCCAGCACTGTCCTTGGAAATCTCCTGTGGTACCTGGCATATGCTGGTGTCTTTGCCTGCACTCCTGCCCGCCCCCACTCTATCCAGACTCCAGTCAGTTCCAACGCTCCAGCTCTTCCCAGCTCACTCAGAGGTAAAGACAAAGTCCTCCCAAGGTGGATGGTGTGCTGTGTGATGTGGACACCCCGTTGTTCCCTACAGCCTCCTCACCCACGTTGCTCCCATCACAGTGGCCCCCTCGTGCTCCTAGTGAACACCACGCACACCCCACCCTGGGCCCTGGCACTTGCTATCTCTGCTGGGAATGTTCTTTCTCTAGTGGGACATGTGGCTTTCTACTTCCCCTCCTTCACGTCTCTGCTCTGATGTCAACTGCTCGTTGAGGACTTCTCTGGCCACCTGCTTAAACTGTTAACTCCTACCCCATATACTTCCTATATCCACCCCAACTTGTATCTCTGTTAACACCTTCTAATGTACTTATAACTAACGTATACGTCTCTCTCAGCTAGAATGTAAGCTCTATGAGGCCACAAGTTTTGCCTATTTTGCTTCTTGCCTGACACATAAAAGGCATTCAATAAATATTAGCTGAACTGAATACTGTCTTGTAGTTGGTATTAAGTGACACATCTTAGCTTTCTTATCGAAGTACAAGCTCTGTCGGGATGGATCTCATCTTGACCATCTTCATTTTCCCTATATCATCTATCCTCACTGCCTTATATAACATAAGCTTTCAAAAACATCTGTGGAATATTTGATGGAACAGGACAATACAAGCACCTAAATGTGACCCCAAAATGGAAGGGGGAGGGTATAATAGGGTCGTTTAGTGTATTTATATATAGGAATTTCTACTATCCAAAAGAATTCTGGTTGGGCGCGGTGGCTCATGCCTGTAATCCCAGCACTTTGGGAGGCTGAGGCAGGCGGATCACGAAGTCAGGAGATCAAGATCATCCTGGCTAACACTGTGAAACTCCGTCTCTACTAAAAATACAAAAAATTAGCCAGGCCTGGTGGTGGGTGCCTGTAATCCCAGCTACTCGGGAGGCTGAGGCAGGAGAATTGCTTGAACCAGGGAGGCAGAGGTTGCAGTGAACCGAGATCGCGCTATTGCACTCCAGCCTGGGCGACAGAGCAAGACTCCATCCCCACCCCACCCCCCAAAAAAAGAAAGAATTCTTACTGGTAAATTGACATCAGGGCAGCCAGCTCGTTCCTCCAAAGGAAGCCCCTCACTCACCTTTGCTGGTTCGGAAGGTAAGCATGGCAGGTTGGCCTTCACCTGCTGCGCTTCTTGCTACCATCAAGACTTCATAAAGACTAGATGGCTCCAGCTCAGCTAAATGGAGCTCGTTTTCACTTCCTGGGACTCGAACCGTGTGCCAGCTTCCCACCATGCCAACCCCATCGTCCAGCTGCCCAAGAGAAAACACACCAGAAAAGCAGGAGATGGAGGATAGGAAAACTTTCAGTCACATTTGATCAAAACTAGGATTCATTTAATTCTAGAAGAGTTTTAAGAAGTCAGACACCACGGTAGGTAAAAAAGACACAATACTTCTTCACATTAAGAAATACAAGATCTGTTGCAAGAACGCTGCAATTCTCACTGCAGAAAGACTCCTGGCTCTGCATCTGACCACTAATGTGTGGCCTCAAGCAAGTTACTGCCCTCCCAGACTCTGTTTCCTTTACTTGTAATGGAGACAATACCTTCTTTCTTCCTGGGCTAATGAGGAATAAAATAAGTATAAAATAATAGGTATCACTGGTATTTATATAGTGTACATAATAGATATACGGTAATGTAAGATGGATATTATATTACATGTATATTAATTATATAATTACGTATTATATATTTCCAGCATTCTTGCTTCATGTCTTGACACTGTTCAATATGTGTTAGAGGAAATAAAAAGATCTAATCAGTTGTTTCTTGATTAATGGAACCAAGAAACACTATTGCATGGAGGTTTTAGGGTAGATGAGATTACTAGCAAACTTCCTCATCTAGAATCATTCGTTAGGTTAGAAACAGTATGTAAACTTTAAAATATCATCATGTTAAAATGTCATCATGTTATTTTTCCTAGTCATTAAAAACATTACCATTCAACAATGTATACTAAAATTTCTTGAACAAAGGAAAAGATTTTAAATATGAATGCATCCTTCCCATTTCATTCATTTACTGGGCTCATTAAACAGAGGAACTTTTCCATTCTGCTCCAATATAAGCCCATGGGGAAAACAGTATTTGAAGAGTTAACTGAGAGAGGCCCAAGGTTTACCCCAAAAAATGATCAAACAATGTATGATTTTAATACATTTGAAAAGGCAACTTGAAGCTGGGCACAGTGGCTCAAGCCTGTAATCCCAGCACTTTGGGAGGATGAGGTGGTGGATCACTTGAGGTCAGGAGTTCAAGACCAGTCTGGCTAACATGGCAAAACCCCATCTCTACTAAAAACACAAAAAAATTAGCCAGGTGTGGTAGTGCATCCCTGCAATCCCAGCTACTTGGGAGGCTGAGGCACGAGAATTGCTGGAACCCAGGAGGTGGCATTTGCAGTGAGACGAGATCGCACCACTGCACTCTAGCCTGAGTAACAGAGCAAAACCCTGTCTCAAAACAAACTAACAAACCAACTTGAAACACAAACAATTGACGTAAATTATTCCACAGACTCTGTTCAAACAGTTGTTTTTAATAAAAAACTGCTTTATTTGCTAAATAAATAGTATTCTACTACCTTAGAGAGGGAAGGAGTTTGTATTTTAAAAGTGGTTATAGAGCTTTATACTGAAGGGTTAAAACGTTTGATTAAACATGTAAAGACATCATTGGGTTCCTAGAATTCCAATTTGGGAGGAAATTATACTTCATTCTCAGTGCTTTCCTAGGATTGGTACACCCAGTATGACTGGGATCTCTCTGACAAACTCATCAGTCTGGACACTCTTGTTCTGTTTCCTGCCATTCCACAAATGGAAAAGACAACAGTGTATGTCATACAAAGAATGTTCAGGTGTGAGCAGAGAAAGATGATAAACGACAAGATATTACCTTTCGATACTTCACAAAGTAAGCATTGATGGGCAGCCCACCATCCTTGCCTGCCCTCCATAGCAGGTTGTATGTGTCTGGCGTGTGGGTCTGTGGGGGGCTCAGTATGATGGGGGCGTCAGGAACCGAGACGCCGCTGGCATTTTTCTCTGGCGCTGATTCCACTGCACTGGGATGGACCTTCACTGGAAATGAGCTCAGTAACCCGGTTTCTGAACCATCTCTCTTATTTCTTTCATCGTTCTGAGCAGCATCAGGAAGTGTGACTGTCTCTGCTTTTGTATTTGTTTCAAAAGGAACTACAGGGAGAAAGAGAGAAGAGAGCGTGAAGAAACCCTCATTTCAGTGTCTTTTACCCAATGTGTGACGTGACTGCCCTCACTTACACTGTTAGCACAGTTTGAGCCCTGGAAGTTAAAACAGGTAACACTGCCATTTATAATTCATGGAAACATTTAACCTCTAGTCGCAATCTTTTCTCATGGTGGAGCAAACGAATTGCTTGAAAAACCAATTATATGATGCAATAGTGTAGCAGTTAAATGTTTTTATTTGTTCCTTGTTCTCTAAGAGTATTCTTTTTAGTAATAATAATTTGCTAGTTTAACCTCAGAAGATTGCAAGTTGGCTGGGCATGGTGGCTCACACCTGTAATCCCAGCACTTTGGGAGGCTGAGGCGGGTGGATCGCTTGAGCCCAGGAGTTCGAGACCAGCCTGGGCAACATGGTGAAACCCCATCTCTACAAAAAACACCAAAATTACCCCGGTATGGTGGCAGACACCTGTAGTCCCAGCTGCTTTACTTGGGAGGCTGAGTGGGAGGATCACTTGAGCTTGGGGAGGTTGAGGCTGCAGTGAGCCATGATCGTGCCACTGCACCCCAGCCTGGGCAACAGGCCAACTAACTTCTACCCGAGGGGATCCTGCAACTACACCTGTCTCAAAAAAAAATTAACGAAAGATAAAACAAGCAGGCAGCCTTAACACTTACTACTAACAGCATACAGAATATACAGAGGAAGATAAAAATAATTTATTTGCACTGAAAAAATACATAGGTTGCATATAGTCAAAGATAACTACTGAGCACATATTATGTGCCAAGCATTGTATGAGCTATCTTATAAACATAATCTCATTTAATTCTCAAAACATTCTTAGGTAGATGGTAATACTCCCATGTTACAGGTGAAGAAATTAAGGTTCAGAGAGACTAAGTGACAGCGGCCAGGAAGAATGTTAATGGTGCTGCTGTGAAAAAAAAAAATAAGAAGGAACAATTTACGAAAACAAATATACTGCCAGTACAATAAAACCTAAGGAGTGACAGCTTGGTTTCCCTGAATTGCTATTAATACTGGCAACAGAAAATTCTATTTTTCACTCCTTTTGTGGAGGAAGAGTGCAGAGGAAACAACGTACTACTTTTATTTCCAAAATGAAGTCAGATTCCTGGTAAAAGGTGGGTGTGTTTTTGGGAGAAGGGCTGCACTGTAGCAGAGAACCAACAGAAATAGGACGAACAGTGTAAGGTTAGTTCTCTGTTAGTGTAAAAGAGAGAAAGGGTGTCCCAGAAGATGCTTCAGAGAAAACAAGAAGCTAGTGAGGAAATAATGTAGAAGAAAACTAATTAAGTTCACTGAGACAACTTCAAAATATTGCTCCTGGAACAGCAGTGTTTATCTAGTGAGTCAGACTGCAGACTGATGTTCAGGGTGTGATCTGGTGCCTGCTAATGCAGAGACAGACTCAGCAAGTGGAGGTAATTAACTGTGGCTTGAGGTAGTGGAGAAGGATCTTTTTATCATTAGAAGTTTAGTGGATCCTCCGGGCAGTTTTCCACTGGGAAGTGGGATCTGGCTGTAAAACAGTTTAAATGCCACATGCCTCAGTTTATACAGAAGCATGAGAAAAACGTTATGCTGCAGCTTCTCCACTGTCTTGAGTATCAAAATTCCATTTCTGTAAGATTTAAGATGCAATGAGACCTCTCCAGAACTTTTATTAAAAGGGGGATTCAATTAACTTTCTTCTTCTGTTTCAATGATATAATCTGGGCACTTGAGAGAGACACTCAATACAACTGAAAAGACCTTACCAGTACTTCCCCAGTGTTTTTGCATGTATTATCTCAACTTATCTTCAGAACTCTATGAAATGGGTAGAACAGGCATCTAGCATCTTTTAAGGTGGAATGTTTTTTGAATTGGAAAAGAGATTGATGCAACTATGGCAACGTAAATAAATTTAATGACTCTCAGTGGAAACTAATTAAATAGGGAGAGAGTACAACCATATCTGTCAAAGATGCTCCCACTGTGACCACCGCTGCCAGCAACTCACACCCAAACTATTTAGGAAACCCACGCCAACTCCCATTATAGTTTTAAGGAGTACCACACACTCTACAAATATTTGTACATCCAGAACCTCAAAAACCCAAGGTCTCTGGAAAGAACAAAGGCTGGGGAGGAAGTTCTCTCTTTCTCTAACCTAGCTTACTCTCCCCTTTACAGTACAGTAGACAAAGTAAATGACTTGTCAGGATGCTACAATTTCATAAGGCTCAGATTCCTATGCAAAGAAGTGAGTTGTTATGTATTGTTTTGAGTTTTAATAAACTCAGTTGGATCTTAATAATTATACTAGAAAATTTTAAAAAGACAATGTAGGATCTCTTTGGTAGAATATAGCTGATGGGGTTACCATACACAAAAGTGGTATATATCAAGACATAAAATCCTGGAGCACACGGGAATCTTAAAGATCTTCTCAAGTTAGTTCATATAACTTCAAAGGGCTTCCGATTTCTCATATTTAAGATGAGGAAGTCAGACAAAATGTCTAGTTCCATCAGCCATAACTATGACATCTGTCTCTCTACACCCTGCATTCACATAATCCCTTCAGCTAAATTCTACCCAAGAAGCTCCTGCAACTACACCTGCCATGCAGCTAACAATTTCGAGCAGAGCCACTCTTATTTTTGCCTAGAGGAATAGAAATATAAAACACACACACATATTCACTTATAGGTGCAAATTTATGTAACACTGAACTACTTTCTTCATTTGAGGATTCTTACGGTTTCTAAAATCAGTAACTATTTCTTCCTTCCCTTAACACTGCCACAAGAGATCACTATAATTTAATAATATTAGACAGTAATAATCATAACTTTATACTTAGTATCAATGGAGGGCTTTCTATTGCCAGACACCATTCTAAGCGCTTACTATGCACTGACTCCTTGGATTCTCACATCAACCCTATGAAGTTGATCCTCACATCAACCCTACGAGCACCTTCACTATACCTGTTACACAGATGAGGAAACAGAACAGAGTTCAGTGATTTGCCCTTAGGTTACAAAGCTGCTAAGCGGCAGAGCCAGGATTCTGACACAGCCCCTGTGCTCAGCCTCCACATCTCTCCCATCTCTAACATGCACAGGAGGATAAGGGGAAGTCCCTGGTCCCCACCACTCCTCCTCCGCCTCCACCTTCATTCAGAGCAAGAGCATCCTTGTTTGCATGTGAAGGGAAATCGTATGTGCCCATACAAACTCTTTTTATTTCAACCATCACTCCTCTGCCAAGGACCCCCCGTTGGCCACTGCTCTGGCTAAGGGTGCCCACACACTAGTCGTGGGAGCACACTGGGCCAGGGGAGAGGAACTGTGGGGACAACTGTGAACTCACTAAAGCAGGGAATGCTGGATCCCAGACCTGTCTAGAAGGAGGAACGTGGGCTCTGAGCTCAGCATAAGCACTGCTCCTTGATCCCGTGGGCTCTTTGACCCGTGGAACCATGGCCCCAGGCAGAAGAGAGCCACGCTAAGCCCCTTAAAGCAGAGGCCAGGGTCAGAGACCTCAGTTACCCGAGACTGAAGGCACTATTGCCTTTGATATTGGGCCTCACAGGACAAATAAGGTGACAATCTACAGCCAACTGACTAGTTGTTGGGGAACACTGCTCTAAATGCCTACGATGGAAGGTTTGAATTTGAATGAAGTCACATTTGAGTTCATTTCCATGAATATTAATAGTCTATATACCAGTACATCAAAAATCATATACAGTTTTTAAGTCATCATCACAAAAAATCAGTAAAATAGGAAGAATTAATATTATACATCCCATTAGAAAATAACTTTGGATAAGACAGAGGGAATATATACAAACAGGTATTACTTAATAGTACCACAACTCTACATTCTCAATGAAGGCCAGTCCTTTAGACCCAATACTGTAGTTATCAAGGGCATAAAAAATGTCTGCAATATCATTTTCGGTAGCTTAGAAAACCAAAAGCATTCATCCCAGAGACAGGTTATATTCTGGGCCTGCTCCCAATGAGAGCTTTCTATATTGCAACTACACTCTTAACACACACATCAGAAACAGAGACCAAAATTCCTGTGATTCACATAAAGCGAAATACCAAGAAACACAGTTCTACATTTCACTGTCATCAGGAAAAAATACAGATTGCTGGATTCATTAAAATAACATCTCAAGTCGGTTTAACTTATATTATAAAAGGAACTTATTCAACTAAAAATAAATGATAATGGCAACTCACCAACCATGAGAGATGCTTCCGCCTGTGTGGTACCATGTTCATTTGTAGCTTCGCAGATGTATCTCCCCGCATGTTCCTGAGTCACAGCCTGAATATGGAGAGAGCTTGCACCAGCTTGGGACATGACGAAGTACACAGGCTCCAGGTTCGAGCCCTCAGGTCTTGATAACTGTGATTTTCGGGATTTAGATCTCAGGACTTGAGATGGATGGCTGGTTATCAATCCATGGCTGTCATACCAACGAATGACCGGAAGCGGCATCCCACTGGCATTGCAGGACAGAGTGACAAAGCTTCCGTCTGCCACCTTTGCACTTGCTGGTGCCGTAATTATAACTGGCTTGAATCCACTGTCTATTAAAAAAGTAATTGACATACGAAAAATTAAGAACACTGTAGTATCTACGATGCAAAACAATTTCATTCTATCATGTAAATGTGGGAGTAATGATTAAAACCAAGATAGCTACCTCCTTGTTAGTTCCCTTCTCAACTTTCACCAAGCAAAACTGTCAATAAATGGTAGAGTTGTTTCACAGCTGTAGGCTCCTAAACATTTCCTACATAAATTTCCTGTCCTTCAGAAAGAAAGGAATATATACAAAGATATCTTTTGAGAGTTTTCTGAAGGTACACTATACATATTTGACCACTGCAAATATAGAACATATGAAGTTGAAACCTCAGACCTTAACAGGAAAATGTGTAAATAAGTATAAAAGCAGATAATTTTCCTTCAAGAAAATGGTCAATTTTGTGGGGTAGGGTGGGAAGGGAGGCAGAAATTTGATTATAAAAAGCTTGGGAGAAAAAAACCTGTTCTGAATAAAAGTTGATACTGATGATACCTGTATTTTTTTCCCATAGACATGAACAGCATTTTTGTTTCTAAATTAAAGTGGCACCAAGTCTTTCCTTTGGGTCTTAGTATTCTCTGGAGGCATTTTTAAGAGAGCTTACAATGGAATATTGATCAAAGTAAATGACATTTTCTCCAGTATGTCTTTTTCTCTAGTCCTCCTTCCCATGACAAAACCACCCAACAACTGATATCAGATTTCTGGATTTTTGCCAAGCTACTGAGTGTAAAATGCTATCTCCCTGCTCAGAACATGCATTTTCCTGAGGTCTAATGAGGCTGTACACCTTTTCACGTGATTATTTGGCATTATTAATTTTTGTCCTCTGTGAAATGGCCTTTGTCAGTTTTTCTATTGGGTCATGAATCTGTTCTGTAATGATTCGGAGTTCTCTGTATATACTAGATTCTGTTCTTTTGTTCAGGTATGTATGTGACTAGTACCTCCTTCCTAATGTCCTGCTTGTCCTTTCAGCTTTTCACAGTATCTATTAGGAAGATGTTTTCATTTCAATGTGGTCATATCTTTTAAAATCAGTCTTTTAAAATGTCTTATTAAAAAGTTTTACCCACAGATCATACATTCTTCAATGTTTTCTTGAAAACTTTTTTCATCTCGTCTTTCATATTGAGATCTTGAATCCGCTGAGAATGTATCTTTTATACAATGTGAGTAAGACACTGAGTTTCACTTTTACCTCCATGTTGATAGTCAGTTATCCCACATCAAAATGCGAAATCGGTCTCCTCCCTGCTGATGTGCAGCGCTGGCTCAGTCAAGCCCTTACACGCAAATGTCTTTTTGAAAGTCTCTGTCTTGTTCCCAGAGTCTATCTGTTTCTGTACCAATATAATATTTTCTGAATTACTACAGATATTTTAGATGTTTAAGGCAAGCCTCCCACGTTCTTTTTTTCCTTCTTTTAGAGTACCTTTGCCATTCTTGGGCCTTGGGTTATCCATATACATCTTAGAATCAGTTTGTCAAGGTCCTTAAAATACTATGATGAGATTTTAATTAGAATTGCATGAATCCACAGAAAATTTTTAGAAAGACCAGATAACTATATAATACTGAATACAATATATAATATTGAGGAACTGGTATATCTTCTTATATAACTGGCTATGCTTTACTGCTATAATATTTTAAAAGGTGGTTTTTAAATTATACTTTCTGTTGCTGGTATACAGACAGGCAACTGATTTTTTTTTTTTTTTAAGAGTGAAGAGCTGCAGGTGGTTGACCTCAGCTCACTGCAACCTCCGCCTCCTCGGGTTCAAAATTCTCCTGCTCAGCCTCCTGAGTAGCTGGGACTACAGGCGCACGCTGCGCCAAGTGATGCTGATTTTTTTTGTTTGTTTTTTTTGTATTTTATGGTAAAGACAGGGTTTCACCGGTTGCCAGGCTGGTGCTCGAACTCCTGAGCTCAGGCAATCCACCTGCCTCAACCTCCAAAGTGCTAGGATTACAGGCGTGAGCCACTGCACCCAGCCAAGGCAACTGAGTTTTTGTTCACTGGTCTTCATCCGTCCACCTTGCTAAATGTTATTATTTATCATAACAGGTCATAATAGGACATACAACAGCCATTAATAATGGCCAGCAACTATTGGGATAGTCTGTGTTGACACATCATATTGGTTTGTAAATTAACAATGATCTGGGTTCTTTCCTTCTTTTACTTTTCATGTCTTTCTGTGCTGGTTAGCATCTCCAGTATAATTGATGGCCAGAAGAGAATTTCAAAGGAGTGCTCTTATATTGTCCACCATAAAATGCAATGGTTCCTGTAAGTCCTGTTAGACACTTTTTTATTAAGAAGAAAGTTCAACTCTATTTCGACTTTTCTAAGTTTGGGTGTAACATGGGGAGGTACTCAGTATTACGTTCTGATCATGTTGTTTTCGATCTCTAGTGATGGAAGATAATCATATGTTTTTCTCCTTTATTTCAATAGAGTAAATAGAGTGAATGGCACTCTACATTTTCAAAGGTGGGATTCCTGGGTATCCACTGTTTGGAAATGACGTCTTTTCTTTTTTACACTGTCCTGGCTTGTTTAATATATTATTAGGATTTTTTACACGCCTATGTTCAAAATTGAGACGCTATGTGATTTTCCGTTACTTGCACCATCTTACTGACGGTTCTTAAGAATCAAGACTCATGAGAGTTTCTATTGTTTCCTCTTCTTTGGAACAGTTCTTATGAAATATTTTGAAATGTCCTATCCTTTCGAAGTTTGTGGTTGAGAACCTCCGGCTAAATCATCTGGCCCCTTATTTCTTGTGTGAGAAGATTTTCTAACTCCTAATTCAACTTCATTTCATAGGGTGTAGGACTACTCAAGCTTATTTCTTTCAGTCCAGCAGTTGCTAAGTTACATTTTTTCCTCGAATCTATGGTCCATTTTGTGCCCAACTCCTTATTTTGAGATAATAATGCCAAAGAAACTTACAATGATAAAATTGCTTTAGCAAGTCGTTTAATAATAAACACTCACTAGTTGTCCAATTTGAAGTATTTGTAGTGGGCACAGGGATTATGCTTTTGAAAGTTAGATTATGTGTTTATATGTTTTTGACATGAAATGTATGATCACCTGGCCATATTTACCGGTATGCATCTCCACATCATTCCCTAATGAGTCCTTTGCCTGTCAAGTATAG